TAAGAGCTGGGATTAAACAATATGCTCAATAGGCTATCTCCACTCCATCCATATTCTGCTTAACTGGTCGCGGTCATTCGCTCCATCTAAAAGATTTACGTAAAATATATCAGAGTAGTTACTGCAAAAAAAGTGTTTTGCATCGACAGGTATATTGGTTATACTTTCCTTTTCACGTTTTACGCGGACAAATTAACGCATAACACGCGCTCGGCAGAGGCTACCACATGCAAATACCCGTGCACCTTGTCTCGGCGGGGTCAGTAAAAAGTACAGCGGGTGGCCACGACGCCGCATTACACGCTCGAACGCCTATTGAAATATGCCCGCTAGTAATGGCTTGTAACGAGGTGTTTGGCCGTGGCCGGCAGGCCGGCGGCCCAGCCTTCATTGTGCTACAGATTATACGGCGAACGTGAGGAGCGGTGTTTACGGCGTCGAAACACCGAGTCGAACAAACCCTGCCCGCTACAAATCCTTTTTATGTTCTGTTAAAGAAGTATTAATTGGAATTTAGGTACAAAGGGAATTATGACAAGCGCATAAGTAATTGCCATCGGTGATCCTTTGAGGATGAAAGCCCATTGTGTCAGTTTAGTTTATGACCCGGCGGGAGAAAATTATCGGTTGAGGGAGATATCTATCGGTGTGGCGGCGGCCTCAGCACTAAACCATTCTATTCAAATAGGAGGAGCAGTTAGCGCCGGCAAGACCGCTTATCAGCGTGTCCAAACATGGGTAGGGGCGGGGAGGCGGGGAAAGGGAGGGAGCGGGTCAACTATGCCGAGGTCAGAGCGTCGGCGGAGGCGGGGGCCATGTCAGACTGGCGGTGAGAGGGGAAACAGGGGGATCATCTGTGCACTGAGAATGTTGCAGTGTGGATGAGGCGAAAACTATCCAAAAATTTCACGCATTGGTATATCAACGACTGCAATTAGGTGGATCTACTAGGCTGAAATTATCACTAAATCTGTCAGAGCGCAATCAGAAAATACCCCCGAACTGAAGACAGTCACCAAAGCCGTCACTGTGAAATGTGTTCGATGTTATGGTTACGGTTACGGTAAATTGTTACGGCGAACTCATCCGATATTGGATTTATTCATTTCCGATCAAGAAACGCCGAGAAAACCTTCTTATGAGTTTGAAGTGCATGTCGACTGTTCAATGCCAGGTGTGTCTAAGGAGCTCTGGAAGTAATTGAATGCTGAGTGCGTTTGTGTACAGTCGAATTTGCTTGCTTATTTTTTGAATTTATTTCACACAAAATATATTTCACATACCTGTAAGAGGGCTAAGAGTGCCTCCTCAGCCTGCTGGCTGCCGCTGCTGGGTGCTGGCTGCCGCTGCTGAGTGCTGGTTTCCGCTGCTGAACGCTCCTGCCGCTGCTGGGTGCTAGCTGCCGCTGCTGAGCGCTGCTGCCGTCCGCCGCCGAGCCGTTGTGGTCCGGGTCGTGGGCCGCCCGCGACAGCGCTCGTTGGCGGCCGCTGATTGGCCGCCTCGGGGCGGCCCCGACCTGGCGGTGGGTCGGGCGCTGCCTGCGCGCGGCATTCTGGAGTCTGATGACGTGTGGGGTGGCGGCGCGGACGTGTCCTCACCGTGTTTGCTAATACAGTGTTGGCAATGGCCACCACCTGTGACGCTGGACGGAGAACCCACCGAGAGACACGTCTATATACCTAAAATGGTGTCTGACCTATGTCAATTGATGATTCAGTCACGTATCCAGTTATGATTTGTTCCAATCGGCATTATCTAATTTTGCAAGCATAACGTTTACGACTGGTTCCCGTTCAAAAATTAAATGTGCTTATCTTGCATTTGAACCTTCAAATTCAATGCTTTTACATTGACTCTGATGACATTGATTCTGATGACTTGTATCTGTCAAATTTGAAGTTTGTTTAGTTAGGCTTGGTTACGAATTTTGCCAAGCTAACAGCACTGGCTGTCAGCTGCTGTGAGCGGTAAGTGGGAGTGAAAGCCGTTGAGATATCGCCAGCGCGTGGCGGTGTGATATTAATCATGGCTCAAAAGAGTAAAATTCTCACCAATTATCAAATAAATTTAATGTAATTACGCTCGGCGCCGGTCTCCGGACGACAATTAGCAGCGCAACGCCCGGTGCACGGGACAGCTTCTGTCACTGTTCTGTGCTGCCGCTCTGGCTAACGACCCTGTTCACACGGGTGCTGCTGCAGCTATAAAAGCAGCATCTTTCCACTGATCCTCCCCCCCCCCCCATTGCCTCCGTTTTCGCTGTTGTCCTCTCCTTCGCTACTGTCCACTCTCATGGCTACTGCCCGCTCCTTTAGCTGTTGTCCGCTCCCTCACTGCTGTCCTCTCCCTCGCTGCGCCGTCGTGCTGGCTACCGGGTCCAGGGTCGGCGGTGTAATGATGCCGTCATGCCCAGATCCGCTGGCGCCATCAGATACCAGGACAAGGGAAACAAACACCACGCCACGGTCACCACAAACACAGGGGAACGGGCAGACAGTGGGCGCAGCTAGTGCAGCTCGGCGCCACTGCTGGGCTGTGAATATGGGCAGCCGGTGAAGTTCGGTTCCAAAGCCTTACAGCGAGTAGACAGCCGGTGCATAGATGGGTGCCGCGGTTAGACAGTGAATAGACAGCCAGGGAAGTTCGGTGCTCCAACTGTGCTCTCCGCTTTGCTCGGAAGAACGTAGCTGAGGTTCCGCGTGACTTGGCAACCTTACGAGCGTGTGCTCGTGCTGCTCGTAGCCTCTCGTATGTATATTATGCCCTAATGTAGTTTTTTTTTCTTCGGTAGGACTGTTGGACTTTCCCCACAGTTTCTTCTCAGCATCTAACACTGATGTGATCCCAAGTAACTACCTTAGTGCCTTTGCCCGGAGCCAAGAGCTGTTGCTGGCTAGTGCCGCTGGGTTCGATCTGCTGGGCGGCCCGGTCCGGACCGTTCGGGTGGAAGTCGGGCGGCGGCGGCTGGGGCGGCCCTCCAGCTGTCCCGGCCAGGAATGTCGTGTTAACACTGCTCCGGCATGTGAACGGGCTCCACTCGACGCGCCGCCATCGGTTATAAATTAATGGCGGCCAACCCTTCTGGCGACCGGCCGCGCCGCCGTGAGAGAACAGATAGGAATGGGAGACAGCCCGACCCGCGCTACCACTGCACCGGCCGGCGGCATCACTGACGGTCACCGCTGGCCTGTGACGTCACCAATGGTCGCTGCTAATATGTGACGTCATATTCACTGCCGATCTGTGACGTATCGACAGCACCCCAGCCCCGTAACGTTGCCGATAGTTGCTGCTGTTCTGTGACGTCATATTCACTGCGACCTGTGCTGTCACTGACGTCAGGTCACTAACTAGAACGGCGGTGAACCGATGTGACCATGATTTATTCGAAGGAGTTAATAGTGGCTAATAACATTAGATTAGGCATTATTAAATTTGTTAACATGGCAAAGGAATGGGGATGATATGTGGGATCCTTTTTTGTCAGGAATGACCCTAATAATGGGTCCAGTTGTAAGCGGCGAGCCGTTGGTAACCGTTCCGTCGTTTGTTCCTTGTGACTCACTCGGCTCGGTTCATGAGTGAGGCTCCTTATTATGTGGCTGTCAGTTGTCACAACTGGGTTTAGTCGTGTTTTATGGGATTTCAGATTTCGGCGCATGGAATAGGGGGTCATTACGGCAATTTACGGCCGGTGTCTTGCTGTCTGCCCCCCAGGCCATTTACCAATGCCCCTGTTTGATGACGGTCGCTCGGTACAGGATAGTGTCGGCTCGACCATGAAATGTGGTGCAGGTCAGGGTTGCCTTTGGGGCCATCAGTGCCAGCGCGCCCAAAGTTCACCACTAAAACACCCCGTGGCAGGTGCCCTGATGGCTATTCGGCCTAGGAAGTAATGTGCGATGTCCACCCTACGACAGCCAAGCCACGGCAGCCAGCTCTCGACAGCCACCTTCCTTACGCTAGCCATCCTTGGACAGCCAACCCACGACACTCGCCTTACAACAAGCCTACGACAGTCACCCCATAATTACGATAAACCCCACTTGCGATCCACCTAACAAATGTCTGACCATCCATCATCTGACGACCACAAAACAAACGCCTCATTGCACTGACATACAATGGGACCTTCTTTATTATCGTCTCGGCTCCATTCCAATCAATTATTTGCAACAAACACGAGTAATTGTGACGGTGACTCGGCGAGGGGTCCCCGCAGAGCGGTGGCCGCCGACGCCATAGCTCCTCTTTGCTCCCTCTAGGCGGGACACAACAAACAAGTGGTTACACTCGCGGGTACATACAGGCGCGGCCTACGACGCGGTGACTGCTGGTGGCGCCTAACAAACAGCGGTGGAGCTGTGTGACAGTGCCTACAGTCGCGCTCCGGCGCAGGTCCAAAGACAAGCCGATGCGACGCAGCGCAGAATAAGCGACCACCGCGTGCCGCCGCCGCAGCACGCAAACAAATGCGCACAAATGCGCACAAATGCGCACAGGTGCGCTGAAACGAGCGCAAACGCAGACGAGCGCAAATGCGCGCAGCACGTCGTCAGCACGACGCGTCAATATCACCATTCGAGCACACATTAAATAAATGGGCCAGCCCACGCAGTAGGTATCTGGCCTCGGTCACAACTCACAACGCTACAGTATGAAGGAGGGCTACGACGGGTCGGGTCGGGTCGGGTCGGGTCGGGTCGGGTCAGGTCGGGTCGGAAGGGATGTTGGGTCGGGTGAAGTTGGGTCAGGTTGAAGTGGGTTGAGTGATGCTGAAGGTTGAGGCCCAGGATGAGGCAGTGAAGGAAGAGGGTGAAGTCAGTTTTGTATTGAGGAATGGACATTGGACATACATGTATGTATGTATGTAATGTATGTATGTAACGTCAAGGGACGCTATACCTATCTCACCTAGCAGAAGCAGTTGTCTAAGCGTTAGTTTTGATGTGGTGTCCGATATGTTATTTTTCAAAAGACCACCTAAACTAAAAAAAAGTCAATAAGGAAATAGCTCAGTGGCACACGGATGGCTCGTTAGCTGGCTGGAAGCATGTTCATAATCTCATCGGTGAGCATGACCAAAACGGGGTTTTCTGTAATACACATGGGAAAGGTATTTTTGACAGAATAGCAGCCATAAAGACAAAAAAGGCCTCGTGCATTTAAATACGGAATGTGGCGAGAATAGCAAGAATAAGTCAATAAAGAAAAGAATGTTGAACTGCGAATAAGCTGTGAACCTAGCCAATGGCTGGCGCCTGGCAACAAGCGACTTTCATTACTAATTGGATGAGCACTGCGCTCTGCACTCTGCAAGGTTATCCACACCAGACAGGCATATGCTGGTGTAAAAGGGCTGTCAAAAGCAAAATATTCGATTACTTTGGTTCTCCTTTCATTCCATTCCTCCGACCTCATTTACAAATTGCAGCTGCAACGGTCTCACGTTATTAGAGTTGGTCGGATGTTATCACTCATCACGAACAGATATTCATTCAGAAGAGCATGCAAAGGGTGCGATATTTGTGAAAGGCTACCATTCAGGGATTTTGAAATTCTGAAGTACCAATGACCTACTCAAGTGGCTGTTCTTTTTACAGCGAATAGGAAGTGCTTAACCATAGCGCTCATAAAAGGCTGAATGGAAATGGTGCATTGAGTGCAGCCGCTCCACCACCGTCGCCTTTCACCATAGCTAATCCTGGCTCTGCAGTGCAATACGCAGTTGCAGGCCTGCCATCGTGTAGTTCAGGATTCCGGCCGTACACCTGGGCCCGGCGGATTTCGCCGAAAGGAGCAGCCATTGCCGTCATGCGTCTAAATGCAGACTAAATCCTGGATAAACTGCAAGTGCCATCAGCTGCGGTGTATCTCCGCCCTATCATCCCACATAAACCGCCCGCCCGGAGTCATCCTCACCGCCCGGCGCAACCAACAGGTGTCGACTATTTAGCGAAATGACTGGCTTATGTATAAATTTCATTTACGTCAGCAGAGCTTTACCGTTTCCGCATAGTAATAGTGCATGGTGCGCTGAGTAGAGTTGTACCTGAGTGCTGCATGGGCCACTTATCAAGATCACCGAGCATCCTAAGAGATGTTGTCGCAAGGGCCGTCAGAAAAGAGGAAAGAACATTAGAAAAAGATTGCTGCTATGTATGCGCACATAGAAACTGCTTAGGGCCGGCAGATGTCGTGATTAGTGAATGACGTACACATCATAGCTGGCTGCTCGCGAAGGGCCGCCTGTCGGCATCACATAATACTCGAGTCATTTCAAAATTAATGAGGTCTGCCTACGAGCGTCAATCAACACACGATATCGAATAATCAGCATCGCCTATTCATAGCATAAATGAAGAGGAAGCGTTCCAATGCGCAAACACCGACCAATCAGGCGCACTGGGGACCGAGTGCCGGTATAGTGTCCAGAAAGTCGCATCCTGGTGCGGTACGAGCCAGGCTAAGTAAAGCGCATCACCAGTGCCTCAGGTCAGCACTGTCAGCTTCCGACTCAGCGATCCCTAATACCAGTAACTCGGTCGCCTCAGTTGGTGACGTCAATACCGGCGCCGGCGTTATCCTCAGAGTCGGAGTCGGAGTCGACGGCGGGGTGCGCCGACGAGCCGCCCTCCTCTGAGACGGCTCCGCCCTCGCTGCTCTCTCCGGCCTCGGCGCCGTCACCTCCGTCACCGCCCTCGCCGCCCTCGCCGCCGTCCGACGAGCGTTTGTGCTTGGTGCGCCGGTTCTGGAACCACACCTTCACCTGGAGGGAACAGAACGGTAGCAGCTCAGTGACTCGGCCAGTGACGAAGGATATCGATGAGGGAATGTTGTTGAGCGTTTTGGCGTAGTTCATATCCATGCGACCCATCTACAAGTGGTTGGTTCGTCACTCAGTGTCATGCGTTCCAAAAAGTTTTGATAACGCAGAAACGAAAACAACAGAAACTGTTGTCATTCTGTTCCGTCTCCTTTGCGATATAGATCGAAATCGAGATGCTGCAAGACATATCTCGATCCACACATACACAACGTCGACAATTCTCTGTTTATTTATACTTTGATTTTCTTTTGAGTCGGGGCTGTAGTGCAAGCATATGGTTCATGTAACGAATACCTGTAGAAAATGACAAATGTTAAATGCAGCTTTCGTTCGTGGCTAGCTTTGGAAGGCGGCGACTCTAAACGATTACTGAAAAGAAGTGGTTAGTAATTACTTATTTACGATATTATTTATCCTAAATTTTGACGTGATAAAAATCATCCTGAGAACATTGGCATCGGTGCGAGGGCATATGGGGTACGGCGATCTTTAATGGGTGAAGGACGAAGGTGTACTTTTAAAAACATTAGTAGGAAACGATTGGAATGTGCTCCTCTCTCCACTAGGAGTGTGCTACTTTCAAATTCAGCCTTAGGCGTGTGTTACTTCGATGTAAAGATCTTTCACAACCGTAGGGCAAAAACTCACATTCCACCGTTACAACAGCTCAACGACCGGAAGATATAATTTGCCGTCGACAGCATACACTGGCAAATTATTATGCTGAGCGAAATAAATGATTGCCGGGCGTCACGAGTCATGAAGACTTTGATTAATATCATGTGCCAATTTGCAGCTGTTTTATTCAGAGTTTTATAGTCAGCCATAGTCAGCATAATAAAATAACTAGCTGGCGAAAATTTACTGAGTGGATTTTGTCGGCAGGTCTCATTTAGTTATGCTTGGCGGCTTTAATGACGACAATTCCTTACAAGTGCATATATATCATCAGACATTTCAGCGAATGTAATGCTAATATGACTCCCAGCTACACGGGGGCCTGCTACACCCGTCGCGGATACAACTTCCTCGCGGTGGACAGGGTTCACCTCTGCGTGAATAGCAAACTGTCCAATAGCCACCGAGCTGAGCCCGACAATCAGCACATCGCTACAGCCAACGGCGTGTTTTCCTACATGCTTTCAAGTCTAATGAGTCCTAATGGTGTCCGCATCGTGCCGGCAGCAGGCAGGGGCCGGCTATCGCCCTGGCAGCGCCGGCGAGCACAGTTCGCGTGTCCGCAGCGCGCCGTAAAGACACGCCGAATCACGTGACCGAGGAGCCGTAGCGCCACGCCTACCCGGCGAGCACGGCGGTGGTCGTAGCACGGCGTAGTGGTGGCTGCTATCATGCGGTGCTCCCACCTGCTAGCAACCGAGGGACGCTGGACTTTGGGGGATGTCTGGGCAGATCTACGAGTGGTCGCTGTAACACACTCTGAGTGGTCGCTGTTAGTTCAACAAGCATACTGCATAGGTATGGGGTCGGACATTATACCTATGACCGTTGCACATTGACTGCCTGCACGCCTAGCAGCATTGCACTCAACTCGCCTGTCTTATTGCAGTGAGGCAGTGGGACACTGCGGTGTGGCAGTGGGTCACTGCAATACAGCCGCACTAGCCAGCTCGGCACTGCAGCAGCGGGTCAAGTCATTCCGGCCGCGTATATGGTCCTGTCCGGTGACCGGTGACCTGACTGACAGCCGGCGGAAGGGCGCACTGACGAGTCGAAGTGACCGCAGAGGGTCGTTTGGGCCGTGCCGGATGTCCATTAGAGCCTGGGTTCCGCACTGTGTGCTGCGATTACCTTTACTCATTTGACTCCTACCTGTCCATTATATGGTGCAGAATTCACCCATATCGCCGCTGTTGACATTGTGGCGGTGGTAGAATGACAGGGTAGTGCGCTTTGCTAATGCTGACAGCCATACAGAAGGGAGAAACTGACCATAAGTCAAAGCGCAAATAATGTCCTATCGCCGACCTGTTGTTATCATTAAGTGCAATTTATGCGAGTTCAAAGAAAAGCAATAATTAAATCCTTAAATAATCCTCAAAGGGTATAGAAGCCACAAACAGAAAGCGGCGATGCCAAAGTGAAAGCTGGCTCTCAGTAAGCAAGTTGTGCAGTTTTGCACCGCTCCTTTGGATTACAAGTCAGACAACAATAAGCAAATTATTGGTTAGGAAAGTTGATCGCGTCTGACCTCTAAGGTGCGAAAGGTCCTTTCATGAGATCCAGGAATAGAAATATAGGTCTTTTGCTACCACAACGGATAAAAGCTACTACTCTTTTGAGTTGAGAGTTGGCGGCTACCTGCTGCAACCGTGCGTCAGCCGGGGTGAGGCGCTCATGACCCGGCCCTGCCGCCGAACCGATCGCCTGCGAGCGATCTGGCACGTCTCAGCACCACGGGCTAATTCGAGTCCGCGCGTTCAGGCTGCAGCGGGGTGCGGGCTCGTCTGACTGGATTAACGGCCAAGACATGAGGCGATTATTTTCAATAGCGCCGGCTGCGGGCTGCGGGCGGACGGTGGTGGGCGTCCTGCACCGAGAGGGAGGGACGGCGCGGATCGGGGGAGGTGTGGTAGGAGCACGCCCTGTCAGTCATCAGACATGGTCAGCGGTCAGTCAGTCGTCAGTCGTCGGTTGTTTCTGGCTGGTGCTCAGTAGTCAGTAGTCAATGGTCATTGGTCAGTGGTCACTAAAAGTTGGTCAGTGGTTAGCGGTCAGTGGTCAGTGGTCAATGGTCATTGTCCAATGAACTGTAGTCAACAGCCAAGTGAGCACTGGATACTGAGTTACGGAGTGGCCAGGCCAGTATCTTTGCTCATTCAGCAGGGTTCAGCGTTCAGCGCTCACGTGCTCATGGTCGCCGCCACCCCCAGACTCCTCGGCACGCCACTGCTGTGATCGAACCGATCGGCTCAGCTCGATCACGTTCAGCGGGCTACCCCGCAGCCTCCGATCCAGAGAATCACGCTCAGGCGGCCTTCGATCCGGCCACTTCCTCGAAGCCACACAGCTCGTGAAAATCCACCAAATTAGTCCATATTCCAGCCAACACTCGTTTCAGACATCATCTCATAAAAACTATAAATGCCAACTACTATTTGCTCATGAGCAAGAATAGAATTTCTAGTCGCATTATAGCTTTCGACATTAAATAAACTGCATTGCCACTTTATCAAATATGATGATAAATCTCCACCCTATGTTTATAAATGAAAGCCTGATACTTTTATTAATTAAGGAGACATGACAGTTATGAAGGAGTTTTAAAACCACAATGGAGCATTGACAAACTGAAGTAATTTTCCCTTCCCGCTCCCTCTGTTATAAAACACGAAACGTAACCACAGCCCATTCCACTCAGTACACGTGAGGAGATATGGAATGAAGAGCTTAATTAGTGATAGCACCAAATGTTCTGCAGCTTTTGTTCATGGCCGTAGATCACTGCACGTCTTCATGAAGTTCTTACAAAATCTGTCAAATACCTATCGATTGATTACATTTCACTTAACATGCTGTTCGGAGCTTGCGTTGATACCTACTTGTGACTTATGTGTAGACAAATTAGAACTGTCAGCGTAGCTGGAAGCATGCGGCTTTCACGGGAGATGTGTTCGTACATCGTATTCAGCCCCAGTTCAGCGGTACACACCCACCCCGTACCTGTTCGTCGCTGCCCGCTGTTCAGCCCGCGGTATCTGCTGCTCGGCTTGCAATGCTTATTGCATACGACTGCTGCTGGATGCACCGCCGGCCCCGTGCCCATTCCAGTCCTGCGTCCCGCCTATTCCTCCAGTCATGCATCTCGTCAATTCCGCCGACTCCGTACCTCCCATTCCGCCAGTCCCGTGTGCAGCCCATTCCGCCGACCCCGTCCCTCCCATTCCGCCAGTCCCGTGTCCAGCCTATTCCGCCGGTCCTGCGTCCGGTCCATTCAGCCAGTCCCGTGTCCAGCCCATTCCGCCGGTCCTGCGTCCGGTCCATTCCACTGGTGCCGTGTGCACTGTGCAGCCCATTCCGTGACACCCTTAGTCATGCCCGATCATTAAGTCACAAAGTCCGGCTTTTAATGGCCAAAGAGCTGACCGGACCGCCTCGCCGGCGCATTAATGCATGCGCCATCCCAAGACGACTGCGAAGATGAGTAATAGAATTAATCAACAATTAATAACCTTTACGGGGCAGTTAAAATTCGTTGCTACTTACACGCAATGAAATAACGACTGCATTGCGGGAATTCAAAACGGCGTTACGCTGATGCTGCAGCCGTTAGGCTAATAGCAACAGCAGCGTGAATGAACTACGGCCGTGTCTCAATTGTGAGCCTCGGCGCAGAGGCCCAGCTGCGCCAATTCAGCTCCTGTGCGCCACATTCGCCTCAGAGCTAGCGGTGCCGTGGCAGATCTCAGTAGGATGAGAAAAGCTTGGTGACTAGCGGCGATGACATTGGTGTCTGGTGGTCAACGGGTTTCGTCCACCGAGACGACTACAAATTGAGCCGGTCACTGGCGATGGATTGGTGACGTGGCGACACGACAGCTGGGTGGGACGGTCGGCGAGGCCCTCTGTCCAGCTGAGACTGACTGCACGGCGTGACTGCGCGGAGAGAGGAGGAAGAGGCAAGAAGTATTTAGGGGTTTGAGAAAGGATAGGAAAGAAAGAAAGAAAGAAAGAAAGAAAGAAAGAAAGAAAGAAAGAAAGAAAGAAAGAAAGAAAGAAAAAAAGAAAGAAAGAAAGAAAGAAAGAAAGAAAGAAAGAAAGAAAGAAAGAAAGAAAGAAAGAAAGAAAGAAAGAAAGAAAGAAAGAAAGAAAGAAAGAAAGAAAGAAAGAAAGAAAGAAGGAAAGAAAGGAAGGAGCTAGAGAGGAGAGAAAAAGAATTACTGTCAAGATTTAATGGAAGACAGAAATAAGAAATGGATATG